GTATATTTTGTGACAAGTGAGACTTCGCTCTCTGGTTCAGCATTGGCCATATTTGTCCTGGGGGATGCTTATATATATCAGCCTCCTGATGAGTCGGTGAAACTCCGACGAAACAGTTTGTCACAGCCCCTCGTTTGTTGTCTTCTTCTCTCTCTCTGCCTACGGTTTACCGGGCAGTATCGTCAAATAGAACTGCCCGGTAAACCGTAGGCAGAGAGGGAGAAGAGGACAACAAACGAGGGGCTGTGACAAACTGTTTCGTCAGAGTTTCACCGACTCATCAGGAGGCTGAACCCATATATATATAATATATATGATATATAATGTATTATATATATTTATGTACGAAAATTGTAATCTAATGTATGGTTGGAGCTCGATTCCAACTGCAATACCTGCACTCTCTTGCATCATTTACCTGAAAACAAAAAATTGTGAAACTGATTACGGGGAGGATCTGGCATACTATTGAGTCCATCAGATGATTCGATTTGATTGTAAATGAGCGGCTGTACTGTCCTGAGGAATGAGTCTGACATGACCTGTCAACAAAGCGATGTGTGTGGATATTATGATGCTATACATCTCCCTTGTTGCCGCATTCTTGACTTAAAGCCTTTGTTGGCACTTCCTAGAGTTGAGCGGCTTGAGCCTCTTGGGATGCAGGTCATACTGGAAATGATATAGGAAGAGAATTTGAAATTTCTTGATTGCAGTCATGTTTTTCATCCTGGTAGAGTATCGGCAGCTCTCTGACTCTTGCACTCCTCCATGTAGGAATTCAAAAACACCAAACGTGGTCCCTTCGTGTTGTATTCTTGACATAAAAGCATTATCAAAGACGTTCTCCCTCCACTCATATACAATTGATGGCTTTCAAGTTTCAACGGCTTTCATGGTGAATTTATACTACGTTAATTAGAAGAAGATTGAAAAGATACAAGCTTTTGTTTCCTCTTGCAACAGTGTGCTGCTCGCCTGATATTCAGGATGATCTACGTAACCAACTGACTTGATTGTGTTGACTGAGGAATTCACTAACTCTTCCATAACCAATAAATCATGGTATCTGCTTGGACATTGAACAAAAATGCAGGGCATTCTGTTACTGGAGAATTGTGGGTGTCCATTCTCGAGAAGGCGTATGCCAAACTGCATGGATCATACGAGCGGCTGCTGTCCGGCTCTATTGGTGATGCTCTTCGTGATCTGACCGGTGCACCATGCATCAAGTTCAATTTTGCAAGTGCCAAATTCAGGTCCTCTGAGGCAGAAGGAGGTGAGTTTTTCTTTCATGGAAACCATACTTCTCTCACAATAAGACCTCCAAGTTGTTATGTGGATTGTCATGCCTCTGTCCATTCCGGCCATAGTGCCTGCCTCCCTCACACACTGCCTGCCTAGGCCCTGCCTCCTTCCCACCTTTCATCGAGTCTCATCTGAGGGAAGTGTTGCTCTCCTGGGGAGATATCTGAGCCCTTTCATGTTAGACGCGATTTGCAGGAGGGGATATGGAGATTTTGGCAAACGTTGTTGTTGTTGTTGTTGTTGTTGTTGTTGTTGTTGTTGTTGTTTTCCCCCCAAGTTCCCAACAACAAAGCCCCTTCTATACTGGGGGCCACCAGTCCAGTTGCTTATCACCGACAAGCAAGTTTTTTACACCCATCAGAGGAAAGGGGGAGAATAGACAAGAGGAAGGCAGCGGCCCAGCCCTTGTGGTGCTAGACACGTATCAATGGGGGGACTACTACAGAACGTTCCATCCCCCAAGCCTTGGCCTTTCATAGGGGGTTGGCCTGCAGGCCGGGAAGCTTACTACCGTAGCAGCACCCAGTCACACAGCAGGTCAAAGCCCAGAGAGGCCAGGCATGGGGGGGTGGTGTCTGTGGTAATTCCTCAAGCTGCACGTCATCCTGCTGATTTCCTAGCTCTATCACCTTCATAGTCTGTACCATTCCTATTTCCCCTTCACTACTAGTTCCCCGACTCTACTGTATCCATTCTACTGCGCGTTCCTTCCTTGTGCGTTCAAATGTCATTCCCTATCCGTTTGCCCTTACTTTAGCCTACATGTCCTTGTATACCTTCATAGCCTCCCTGGTTCCACTCTCTCTCCATCCTTCCTAAGGTCTCGTAAAGTCTCTGCTCCTATCTCTCCTGTGTTGTCCCCAGCATATGTGTCCGTACCATAGCCCTTGTTCACTTCCATTCTGATGTATTCCTATGCCTGATCTTGCCACCTTACCCACCCCTCCTATTCTCCCCCCCCCCCCCCCCCCCCCCTGATTAAGCTCACTCCCCCTATCATCACACCGAGACCGCTGTTGTACACCTGTCAATCTCCTATGCAAGCCCTTTCTAACTCCCTTATAGTACAAACCGGTTGCTTTACATAACATTCTGTCGCCCAATCACTATTCTTCGTCCGTTTCGACCTCCGGGGCTTGGCGCATCAGGACCGGGCCGAAGCTCATATGCCCTGTACTTGAGTCACGAATAAGCAGTTGCAAGACCTGCCTTGTTCAAATTGATTGCAACGGAGGTGCACAAGCTAGGCTCAAGCTAGTGCAAAGTGCGGCTGTAGAGTGCTATGGTAATATGGTGAAATGGAATTGCTGGTCTACACAATGAAGGTCACTGCAAGGACTGAAAGACGAACTGGGGATAGAATTGAGAATGAATCAATCTGCGTTTTACCCTGTGCCCTTAAGATGTTCAGTTTTCTAGAAGTATTTGTCTGATTGCTACGATTTGTCATTTTACAGGTTTGTGGAATCTGTTGAAGGAGTACGAAATGGAGGGTTACGTGCTTGTGGCCTGTGCCCAGGCTAATGACGAAAATGTGTCGGATGGCGAAGATGGTTGGGCTGATGGAATCTACCAAGGTCAACATGCCTTTTCAATTATTGCAGTAAGTATGATGCTTTTGCCAGCAATGTACCAGTCTCTTGCAACAGCACTGTTCTTGTTAAACCACTACTTCCGACAAAATCAAGCCAACTCCCTCTGACAGAGAACAGAACTGTGACCACCAGGTTCTAAGCGCAATGGAACGATTGGTAAAGGGCAGGCCTCTGGTAACCGGGAAGGCTGTCAAAGGTAGTGGTAATTTAACGAGATTGGTGTGTGTGTGTGTGTGGG